TTTGTCATGAGTTGCCATCCAAATTTAGCCATAAGAGATTTATGGATATCATGTGTTTTCTTGAAGCCTAAGCCACGCACTGATTTTGGTCTACATAGGAAATCTTATAATTTGGTGGTCATTGCTTGATGTTCCCCAGAGTGTCCCCACCAAAAGCTCCTTATTTTCTTGTCAATCTTGGAAGAGACCAGTTGGGAGAGCATGAAAGATTGCATTGCATATGCTGACATTGCTAATGCAATTGACTTAATGAGGGTAGATCTTTTAGCATAAGAAAGTATTTTAGCTTTCTAACCTTGCAACTTGCTTTCCAGCTTATCCACCCACAATGATGTTACTGTGACTGCTGCAAAGAGTAATATTATGGAGTTGTGTGNACTTAATGAGGGTAGATCTTTTAGCATAAGAAAGTATTTTAGCTGTCTAACCTTGCAACTTGCTTTCCAGCTTATCCACCTACAAGGATGTTACTGTGACTGCTGCAAAGAGTAATATTATGGAGTTGTGTGGAGAGTCGGGGTCAAGTATTGTTGTACGGTGAAGGTACCAATCTTGTAGATTTAGGTTTGGGTAATGATCAGTGTGCAGTCCCCATTTGTTAAACCAAATATTGTGAGCATTGGGGAATAAAATAAAAAGAACAGATGAATACATGTCTCAGTTTGTCGTTTGCATAAGGGCTTGAGTAATGGTTCTCCAAAGCATAATCTTATGTCTTTCATGGATTTTTGCTTTCCATAGAATGTTTCAGTCAGCAGTATCTAAGTAGGGAGGATCTGGCATACTAATTTGGCAGTGAATTGACCATTTGCTTGAGTGGATCCATGGCATTTGGTCCTCTTTAGGATATTGGGGTAGTTGAATTGCTTGGATAGCTTAAGCAATTTGTTTGCAGAAAAGGGTATTAAAGAGATCAGTGTTCCAGCTTTTGCAGTCTTGATTTAATAGTTCGACAACTATTATTGGGAGATCTTCACACTCTTGGTCAAGTTGGACTCGAAAGTTTGGCATGCTAGGGACCCAAAGTTCTGTCCATATATTGATTGATCTTCCATTATCAACTATATAGCATTCACCAGCTTCAATGATCAACCTACAATCTAGAATTTGCTTCCAAACAGCAGAATCATGAGGTTGTTTCTAACATAGAGAAAGGAGTTTTTTGGCACAATATTTCCTCCTAAACTGCGTGGTCCAGATTTTTGGTGAGTTTTGTCATTAGTTTCCATCCAATTTTAGCCATAAGAGATCTGTTGATATCATACATTTTCTTAAAGCCTAAGCCACCCATTGATTTTGGTCTACATAGGAAATCCCATGATTTGGTGGCCATTGCGTGGTGTTCCTCATAGTGTCCCCACCAAAAGCTCCTAATTTTCTTGTCAATCTTGGAAGAGACCGCTTGGGAGAGCATGAAAGATTGCATTGCATATGCTGGCATTGATAATGCAGTTGACTTAATGAGGGTAGATCTTCCAGCATAAGAAAGAATTTTAGCTTTCTAACCTTGCAACTTGTTTTTCAGCTTGTTAAGGATAGGTTGGAATGCCCTAGTTATGTTCCTTCCTATTATCATGGGCAGGCCTAAGTAATTGACATTGTTTGAACCCTTATTGACGCCAATGATGCTTTTGACTGTTGAGATATCTGCCTGGTGTGTGTTTGAGCTGTAGAAGACCTTGGACTTTCTTTGTTACTGGCTTGACCTGACCATTCTTCATATGTGTTGAGACATGAGGAGATTATTTCTGCTTTTTTTTGCATTTGCTCTGCCTAGTTTAGGAGATCATCAACAAACAGGAAGGGGTTGATTGCACTGCAGTTCCTGGCTATCTTAATGCCATTGATATTGCCTTGTTCATTTTCCCTGTTGAGAAGTCTAGAAAGGATGTCAGAACAAATAATGAACATAAGTGGAGAAAGGGGGTCCCCTTGCCTTAGTCCTCTTTGGACCTTGAAATTGTCATATGAGGGTGTCATTCACCAGCACATAGAAAGAAGTTGTAGTTATGCATTGTTCAATAATGCTGTTAAACTGTTGTGGAAATCCCAGTAGGGTTAAGATTTGTAAAAGAAAGGGTCATTCAATCCTATCAAAGGCTTTGGCCATATCAACTTTGATCATCATAAGCCCCCTTTCTTTTTTTCCTTTTCATTTGATGAATAAATTCTTGTGCCAAGACTATGTTTTCAGCAATGTTTCTCTTTAGGACAAAGGCAGTTTGTGTGTGGATATTTTTTGGTCCAGGAAGGGTCTAATTGTGCTAGCAAGAATTTTTCAGATGACTTTGTAAGCCATGTTGTTGAGGGCTTTGAGTCTTTTGGGATGAGGCTGATATTTGTTCTATTAAGTTCTAAAAGCATATGACGTCTTGCAAAGAAGCCTCTAGCTCCATCAATTGAGTTTGCCCCCACAATGTGCCAATAGGTTTTGTAAAAAAGAGAGGACATCCCATCTAGGTCAGGGGCCTTCTGGGATGACATTGCAAATAGAATAGTCTTTATTTCATCATAAGAGGGAATGACACATAAGTTGTCATGATGGTCTTGTGTTATAACAGGTGAAATAAGGTCCTCCAAATTGTGTGGATGGAATGTGGTGAAAAGGGATTGGAAGTGAGTGATAAATTGATTACCAATTGTTTTTGGGTCAATAAACCAGGTACCATTCTGGAGCTTTAGACAGTCAATTGGGTTCCTCCTCCCACTAATCACAATGGTTGAATGAAAGAATCTAGTGTTTGCATCTCCATCTCCCATCCATTGAATTCTGAACCTCTGTTTCCATAGTGTTTCTTCCCTTTTGAGCTGTTCATTCAACTCATGTCTCAGTATTTTTCCTTCAAGGATATTGTCTGATGTAGGCTCATCCTATTGCAGTTGATCAATCCTGCTTCTGATGGATTTTTCTTTTTGTATGCATGTCCCAAATTGTTATTTATTCTAGATTAGTGGGGCCTACTTTGTTGCTAGAAGCTTCCTACAGAATTTGAAGGCCATAGAACCTGTCTTGCTAGTTTTCTAGGAGCCTTTGATGAAGTGGTGGCTAGTAGGATCTCGTATCCACATTGGTTCAAATTTAAAGGGTTTTGGTGTCCAATTTTGGCTTCCATAGGTGTTGAGCAAGAGGGGTGCATGGTCTGAATCAATTGAGGGAAGGTGTTTAATGGTTTCTTTGGAGAAAACAAGCCTCCATTCCATTCTAACTATCCCCATGTCCAAGTGTTCTTTGACGTTAGCTAACTCTTCCCTTTTATTTGACCATGTGTATGGATTTCTAGCATATCCCAAGTTACCTAAACCTAATCATTGATAAAACTTTCAAAACCACCATTGGATGGACAAGTGTAAGGCTTCCCTCATTTTTTCTCTGTTTGTGAGGTGATGTTAAAATCACCAATGAAGAGAACAACTGCAGGTGATTCACTTTGAATTTGTTCCATAGTGTGCCAGAGATGGTGTTGGTTGGTACCTAACTGTAAGGGGAGCACAGACACCATTTAGGATCCATTTGGTTTCTGGCGGGTCTGAAAAGAGCATGTCAAATATCATGTTTCGGGAGGAGAATATGATTTCAATGTCCACACCTTTTTTCCATGCTAGGCAGATGCCTCTAGACAATCCATTTGACTCTTGGATCTCCATGTGTAAGAACCCGAGGCTCAAGAGGATTATTTTGATTTTCTTGGTGTAAATTTTTATCTCTGACAGGAGTAGGAAATCTGGTTCATATTCCTTTATTTGCACCCTTAGATGATGAATTGTTGACCCATGAGCGAGCCCTCGACAATTCCACACATATTCAGGCATGACGGAGGTGAGGCATGGTAAGGCCCTCCACCTCAACCATTGTGGGAATATCTTCAGTCCATTGAATTTCAATTCCATGGGAATCCCTTCTGTACTCTTCCTTTATCATTCGTGTTGTTCTTTTACAAGAGAATTTTCTAACTGGTTTAGTCACGACATATGATTGCCCAGATTCCTCAATTATTGCATTGGTTTTTCCAGATTCTTCATTTGATGCAGGATTGACTGGTGTGTTTGAATACAGGTACAACATCTTCTTGTTTATGTATTTTTTAGGGTTTGTGTGGGTGGTCTTCAAAAGTTGTTTGTTTTAGTAAGAGACCAATTACAGTGAGCTATTTGAAAGGCAAATAGGGTGAAGGGTCGGGGATGTTAATGTGAAGGGAAGTTAGAGAGGTGTGAAACTCTGATCTGGTGTGTTTCTATCAAAAGGTGGTTGAGTTAGGTATTTGGAGGGGTTCTCATTGATGACATTTAGGGGTGGTTTTGGGTTAATTTGTGGTATCGGTTGGCTATTGGGTCAAGGGTCTCATGGTCTGGGGTTGTATAGGAATAGAGAGATTGTAGTTGGGTTGGGGTTTGGGTGGGTCTGGGCTTGTGGGGTAACTTGATGGTTGTAGTTGGGTTTGGATTTGATATGAAGATTTATGTGTCCATCTCACCATCCTGGATTTCCAACTGTGCATTGTGATTCCCGTTTTGTCGTTTGGTTGAGAAAAATTTTCCTATGCCGCATGACTTTGACACAAATGTTGCAGTGGATGCGATTGGTTGCAGTTATATGGTGAGGTCTGCGGTTTGGGTTGGGAGCTCAGGGTTCAGATGCCCTTTATTGGGTGCCTCAGCCAAGGATTTTGATGTTTGCATGTGAACCTTTTAATAGATAAGAGGATTTTGCACAACATGAACTTGCTGATAATGTGATCAAATTCTGCCTCGTACCAGCAGGACTAACAGAACTGCCAATTCACAAACTTGACAAGCTCACCACCTCCAACATAATGCCAGCTTCTGTCAATCACTCCCGTTGCTTCTGTCAAGTTCATCAATTATCAGAACTGAATCAGGTTCCTTAGTCTGACCACATACCGAACAGACGATGAACTCCTGACACCCTTTCGGAGAACAGCCTGTAGTAATTGGATAGTAGTAAAGAGAGCTATCTCAATTCCAAACAGATTATTTATAATCGCATCTGTCCTCTAAACAGCAAGAAATGATCAGACTCAAATGAGGAAATAAAATGATCAGTTCACAGTTACAAATGGGCATTTTTAGAATCATAAATTTTTGTTCAGATACATATTTTCTCTCCCCCACCCGTGCTATGTTTGGTAAGCCTACCTCGATGCAGAAATTACCTTATATGTGAGACCTTATCCTGGTATGAAAATAAAAATTTGAGATGCTTCTCATGGGGGATGATAAGGGTTGGACCAACCACACTAAAATACATTGAATTGGTTCGAGATCTTTGCACTGCAAGTTGGACACATGGAACCAATTTCACCTGTTTGTGTTCCAGATTGGACTGGCTCATGATAGAACTCACTTCTGCACCAGACACATATCGTAGTAACTTGATTCCTGCCACCTATATTTGGCATCAAAGCATCCTTTCCAAGCCAAAAGGAAGAATCAAATCCTTGTTCCATCTCCGCACCATATGCAAAAACCTTGGAGTCCTCAGGAAGAGAATCTGAATTTTGTGTGGTAAAGAAGCTGTATTCTACAGGTTCAGTTCTACCTGAGCTCAACCCTTCAAAACCCATGTTCCGGTCATACTTCTCATTGACTCTAAACAATCCATTGTCTCCCTGTCCCCAGATATGCAATATCAGTTAAAGAATCAAGAAACTAAACCACATAGAACAGAAATACAGAGAAGAATAATGAATAGTCAATAGGAGGGATCCAAATTTCAGAAGTAATTTGGAATCAGAAAAAGCCAAGAAAAACAAAGTGGAGCAAATGACACCAACCAATGTCATTTAATTAGATATCAGAACACAGTTTTCCTATCACCAGACTGTATACTAGTGGTAATTATAACACATACCTTATCTGAAATTATATCAAAGTTGCGAAAAGTGCTCGATGATTGCAGCAGTGGGGTTGAAGTATTGGCTACACCATTTGGTAACCCATTTTCTTCACCAAATCTCCAAATTCCACCACCAATGACATTCCCGGCAGGCTGAGCATGGCTGCTACCAAAACCAATTGAAAACTTACAGTGGCCAGGATTTCCAACCTCATCCACGCTAGGCCCCTCCCAAACTCTTCCAGGGTAAACCATATTAAAACTATTCTCAAAGCCATATGTTTGGTCATTGAAACCACGTAAATCACTTGCAGAACCTCTTCCCTGCTGTGGATTTTCTAACGTACTATCGTTAATCCTATTTAAACTACTTTGAGCACCAAATGTATGCTTGAACCCAGATGAAACAAAGGAACTATCTGCAAGATATCTTTCCTGCCCAACACTAGCAGGATCTGCATCTATCCCTGTGTGTCGGTGGCCAAAAGTAAGACTTAGCTCATGATTCCTGGAATTTTGGACCACATCAAGTTTGGGATCATCTAGTGGGGTAGAGTAAATCCTATTCAGTGTATTTGCATTATAAGACGATTCTGCAATACATGACTGACCAAGTGAGCCACCAGCAGATTTTTCCCGCTCGCTGCAATTCATTGCACTACTGTAAGCCCCAGTTACATTATCTTCAGCAGAAAATGTCTGCTCATTCCCAGATGGGAAAAGTGAGCAAAACTCAAGACATGAATCCTGCTTAGCACTAGTCACAGCGTCTGCATTCAGTGCACTATGACTGCTGCCAAAAGGAATAGTCCGTGCACTGTTCCTAGAAGTTTGGACTTCGTCAATGTCAGGCCCCACCATTTTCCTTGTAGAAACCTTATCCAGATAATCCTCAACACCACAGTTTTGCCCATAATCAGAGAGAGAAAGTAAACGGCTTTCAGAACTTTTTACTTGCCTGCGCTCCTCGACCGGGCAAGTGGAAACATCATTCCCATGATTTTTTATAACACATGGTTGCGCATTCGGAGATGGAACAATTGAACAGCCTTGAAATTGTCTTTCCTCCTCAAGGCTAGTCAGAGCATCCTTGTTTGATCGAGCATAGCCGCTGCACTCATCGCTCCCCAAATAGAATATTCCATTAACTTTGTGCTCACCTACCAAGTTAGGGAAACCCCTATTCAAATTGTCTTCAAAACATGTTTCCTTATCATTAGAGGGAGTTAGTACACTGCTTTCAAAACCTCTCTGCTGCTTGACAGTATCAACATCGCTCAATTTCAGCTCATCCTCATTTGGAACAAGTAAATGGCCTTCAGAGCTACAATGCTGCTTGACTCCAATCACATTGTTTTCATCCAACCCAGCATGACCATTGCCACTACCAAATGTTGACTCATTACTTGCAAATTCATTCCCATCAAGATTGATCTTATTGATAGTGGTTATAACATTCCTATCATCCACATTTTCACCATCACATGTCTTATCTTTGCAATTTGAAGTAAGTAAACCACTTTCAGAAACTGCTTCCTGATTGGGCTCCTCTGTGCAAGTAGAAACTCCAGTCACATTGTCAACATTAGATATTTGGTCATTTAGAGATTCAGAAAGCAAGCAACTTTCAGAACTTATTCCCTGCCCACTGAAACATCTGTTGAATCCGTTGGCAACAAACGCAGTAACTTGTGTTCCGCCAGATGTTTCACAGTTGCTGTTGTTCTCATTATTAAACCTTACAGCTTCGGAATCTAAACATATACTAGATTTAGCTGCAACAACATCTGTAGCATCATCTACTCTTCCCACTTTACCATCAATCATACAATCTTTGTCCTGCTTATCACCAGATTCTTCAGTTGAAGCTTTTTGGTCTCTGTTCGCTTGTAAATGCTGTTCGTAATGATCCAGACATTCTGGTCCATGATCTTTCTTGCCAGTAAAATTTTCTGAACTAGAACCTGATTTAAAATTACCCTGACGGGAATCAGAATTCTGTTCATCATCACATATGGCACCAAAAGTTTCTGTAACAATATTGCTCTCACCCCCATTTGACCCTTGCAAAAAATATTCCCTTCGAGGAATATCAGATGAAGATAGGTCAACACTCATTCCCACATTTTCACCTGGTGATGCGTCAGCATTCTTCACGTGGTTTTTTACATGAGCACCAACATGGCCATTGTAACGATGCCTCTCATTAAATCTCTTATGGCAGAACTGGCACTCATATTTTCCATCTTTGATTATTACCCCATCGGTGATGGAGGAACCAAATTTCGATCTCTTTCTCCTGTGACGTGTTACCTGGTGGTGCAACAAATCATCCATCTCATCAAATGACAAGGTACATTTGTGGCATTTCAATATCTCTCCTACTTGAACCTCCATTGCATCCTCAATCTTGAAGGTGACCTGCATTTCATTATTACTAGATGTAGAAGTAATTGGTGGTGACAAATAGCAAACAAGGTTTTCCTTCTTGTTATCTTCTTGAATGGAAAGTTCTGCAGCCTGTAGTTTATCAAAAAATAAGAAAAAGAACAATAAAATATAAAAAGGAAAAAAAAGGAACAAACTAAGGACTGAAAAAAAGGAACAAACTAAGGACTAAAAAATGGATGAATACATTTCTTAGTATAAAAGCCAAAATATGTCCGTTAGTTGCACAAAGAAATTGAATATATCTTTTAGGTAAATAAAAGGCTGAATATATCGCTAAAACCAACTTACACTTCCAGAAGTCGTTTTGTAGGTGAACTGAATATTCCCATCATTGTGAGCATAACTTGGTGGGTGCACATCTTCTAGCCCGAAGACAGAAAGCAAATATGAAGAAACTTCCTTGCATGACACAAACTGCTTCCCATTAGGGCTGAATTTCACCAAGTTAGGGATAACTATGTAAGTAAGCACTGCACAAACTATAAAAAACAATACAAAAACAATAGTGGCTTAATAAAAGCAAATGTGTTAGCAAAAAATGTTTGCGATGATCACTGTTGAGAATTCAGCCTTCTGATACAAGGGAGAGCCGTCTGTAAGTGCAATACAAGAATGGAAAATCCTAACTAGATGACATAATCCTTCAGGACTCTGCAGCATTGAATGAATATAACTGAGTAACCATATAAGGAAACTCCCTAGATCTCTTATTTATAGAGCTTTATTAGAGGGGAAAGTGGAGAGCTGAAAATATAACCCAAAAAGAAAGGCCTATAAAACAGAAAGGTGTAAACAGTAATTTGACATTCTAATAAGAAAACTTTCTCATATATTAAAAAAAGATAGGTAGGTAGAGAGAGAGAGAGAGTCTACTTCACAAAGTTTTGTATTGAGATCCCCACCCAAGCTAATTGATAAAGATCAATAATCCTTCTTAACCAAAATAAGCATTCCTGAAGCCTTTCAAAAAAAATGTTTTGATAATAGTAAAACCCAAGCCTCAGAATTATTTGTTGATGATAGGAAAACCAACACCATATTACAACCTTCTAAATATTGTGCTATGGTGAGGAGAAAGTAGTCAAATTCCACTAAATAGAAAAGGCTTAAAAAACCTACAGATTCATCCATTATAAATCCTCAAANACTCATAATGGTGAGGAGAAAGTAGTCAAATTCCACTAAATAGAAAAGGCTTAAAAAACCTACAGATTCATCCATTATAAATCCTCAAAGAATTATCCCAAACAACCTGACTAGTACCCTATTGTCTGGAAATCCACAAAATAACAACCATTTTTTAAGCAGTTTTTCCCTCCTTATAAGATCAAAAATAGGATTTATTTTAATCAAAGTTCAAATATGGCGGTTAAGCACAATAGAGATATTTCCATTTAAATTTCAGAAGATAGAATTAAGCATAAAAGGAGGAGAGGGCACACAAAAGTACATATAGTCTTTGCATGGGCATGACACGCACATGCATACAAGCACAATAGCACATTAAAAGGCGCGCACACACACACACATACCCCCACACCCTCACACACACATATATATACGAGAGAGAGAGAGAGATGTCATCATGTGACATGGAGCATGAAAATATATGCTCGGTGATACATTACCCAAAATTGCATCAAAATATATGCTGATCTAAAATCTCAAAATATATGATTTTTGAATAAAACATGCATTTTTTTAACAATCAAAAGCCCTATTTCATGTAACAAACAATTTCTTATATGCAACTTTCCGCACATGTTGTCCTAGATGACATCTATATAATAAAATAGAAGGGAGTTTGAAATTTTATACCCCATATGTTTTTCTCCCCCAAACTATCTTATCACATCCATCATCTCCCTCTTAATGTTGCACTGCCCTCACCTGCATACAGTCGCCCGACACACGCATTGAGCACCACGCCTGTCAGACATCTTTTAATTTTTTTTCCTTCTTTTCCTCTACTCCTTTCTCTCTCTCACCGGTGCCTCTCTTTCTTTGGAGCAACCCACAAGGCACACAACACACAAACCCAGGTACCACTCTCTTCCCCCCCCCCAAAAAAAAAAAAAAAAAAACCATTTTATACTCCTCTCTCTCCCACTGGCGACATCTCCAGCACCACCGCCACTACGTGAGTGTCTGAGTGAGAGAGAGGGGAGAAGACCAAAGCCGTGGCGTGAGAAGTGGTGTCTAAGGGTGCAAAACTGTTGGATTTGTGTTTTCTAGTGTGATTCTGTCTGAAGGGTTTATAGAGGTTGCTGTTGGTTCTTGTACTAGCTTTTGCTATTTTCTGAAAACTTATTTTTGCAGTTGTATCTAGCTTGCATTGTGAAGTTAGGATCCAAAACTGATGCATTTCAAAGGTAAGGGCAGGCTTGGTATGTTCCTTGATCGCTGGAACTTAGTCTTCTCTATGATCTATAATTTACTTAGTCTTCTCTATGATCTGTAATTTCTGTTTGTGTATTTTACCATTTAAGGGTAGGCTAAGAGTGTTTTTCTTCATCAAGGCCTCTTTTGGACCAGGTATATATATATGAAATATGTTGGTTTATACATATATTGGTGTATATGTGGGTATGTTTATATACATATTTGAATGTGTAGGTCTCTCAAATGGGTTTTGTATCTCCTAAAGAAATTAACAAAAAAAATCAGGTAGAAGAAGATGAAAGAAGAATTTTATGGCAAACAAAAAAAAAAAAAAGAAGAACAAAACTAGGCGTCAAATAGAAGAAGATGGAGATGTTGGCTTAAATTCAGAAACTCCCCCCCTTAGTTTTAGATAAAGCACATACCTACTTATTGAAATTATAAATTTAAGTCAAAGGTTTTGTTAAGTTACAGAAAGTCCCCTTTTGTGTTTCATGAGTAACAAATGAGTACCTGTTGAATTTACACAATGACCCCAGAAGATCATAAAATATTACTAAAACACTAAATCAGTATTTCCCATGCCTTAGATTTTTTTTTTTTACCACCATCAAAGCCACAGCTACCGAGTTCGCCACCGCCACCGCCAACGCCAGGAACCAGCAACCCTTCTGCGCAATGACCCAGCAACCCAGTAGACCCCCACCCTTCTGCGCAATGACCCTCCCCCAATCCCTCTTCTGCACAAACAACCACCCTCCAAAGATCCAACGGAACTCACCCCCCTCACCAATGTAAAACGCACCCCCCCTTCTACGTAAACAGCACACACGGGTTCTCTCCAGCAAAGCAACATTGGGAGGATATACACACACACTGTCACCAGCAAAGTAACACTGTACCTCCCCTCCCCTCTTTCTATTTCTCACTGAAAATGCCCAAAACCCAGACCCCAATTATAATGCCCATGACATGTTTGTTGAAATGCCGAAGAGAATCCACACCCACAAATACTATGAGTTTGGATGTATTTTTTCTACCATTTTAAATTTTTTTATGCAATTTTGAATGTGCTATGAATTTCGTGACTGGTCAATTTTGAGGTAGTTAATTTATGGACGGTCAATTTTAATGTCGTTTCTGCTTTTCTGATCTACTCTTTATGATTTTGTTTTGGTATAGTTTTGTGATTCATTTTCATATATCTATAGTTGATAATTGCTTCCAAGTTCGTGCAATTAATTGGTTTTCTGGCAGAATAAAGTATATCACTACCAGTTTTACACTTTTTCTCACATTCATGATTTATATAGGAAGTATTTGCAATTCTAGATGGACTTCTTTTATATAGTTAGAGACAACCAATTTGAGGATTCTGCTATGGGATTGCATAACTGAGATGGGTATCACTAGGGACCTGGTTGGGAGTGTCTTTTCCAAAAGCCGGTCCATCGGAGCCCATGAGAGCAATGTGAGTTGATTTCATTTTAGCTTACTGGTTTTCTTGAAGTCGCAAAGGATTTTACTTGATAAAGATATTTGAAAAAAGTTCTATCAGTGAAAAATTGGTCGATGAAATTGATTGCTTTAAAAAAGGGATCTATTTGAGCTTTTGCATTTTGATTTTTTTGTATGTGTTCGTGGATTTGTAAAGTTGGTTCCCTGAATCTTTTGACTATTAATGTGTTAGTTAGAATTGGGCCATTAATGTATTGCTATTGTGTTTTTGCTTTTGAACATTCAAATTCTAATGTTTTGATTTGATTTTAATCTATTGTGTTGATTTTTGTTGTGATCTTCTAGGCATTTGTTGTAGTGGCGGTTGAGTTTTTAAAATTGTGATCTTCTTTCTTTAAACTCCTTGAACATTCAAATTCCAATTGAATTTGCTCTTTTTTTCATTTGAGTATCCTCACAGTTTTGTTAGTTTTTATTTTTTGGGCTTGCTCGCAAGATGTTTGAAAGGGTTTGGTTTCTTGGTTTTATATGGGTAATGGATTATATGATTTTTGCATAATTCCTTCTTTAGATTTTGATTGTTTTTTTAGACTAATTTATAATTGAGTCTATTATTGTAAACTCTTTTTGGTTCAATACCCTTTTAACTATTGTTGTTGTTCAATACTTAATTCCATTTGTTGGTCTTTTATAGCTACTTTTTTTTGTCCGTTGTGTTATTACTTCACCAACATCCATTTTTATTCCTGCTTCTTAACACCAATATTTATTTGTTGATTATTTATCGTTCAAATTTAATGTTCAATTTTTTTTAGTTGCACCATGCCTTTAGGCACGGGTTATCCCTAATAAATAAAACTACAAAAATAATGTTGATTCATCAGTTATGCCATCAAGAAGAAGTATGTGAAGAATAGCAACCAATGATGACAATATCAGGCATGCAAAGAACTTGTATCAAACTAGCAAAATGAGATCAGCTTCAACCAGGCAAAAGCAACAGAAAGTAGCGGATTCCATAATGCAAGTAGCACCTCAAAACCCATTCAGCTCGTTTTGATTCCACCTCGTTTTTTTTTTTCCTCATTTTACAGTAACCACCAAAGATTTACTCTCACCAATATCTAATCCATTATGTCCCCTGGTTCACCCATTACACCATCCAAATGTCACAAAGTCTAATGGAAACCTAAATACAATAAGATATGCTAAGTTCTTGACATAGGTGCACATAGTGAAGGCAAAGGGGCCTCATTAAAAAGATCTATAGACATAAATATATGGTATGATCAAGATCTAAATGAGTTATTAAGGCGCAAAACAAGTTTGATTGAGCTGAGTAATAGGATGCTCATGCTCTGTATGAAATTTCAATAAGCAATACAGTTTCCATTGATCAGGCTTAGCTCTTACCTTACCTTTGTTCTATTCTTTACTTAGGGGCTAAACAATTTGTGAACTGTCCCCAAATATATGGTATTTAGAATTTCATTCAAGCAGTTAGAGAATTTTCGTATAGATCCTTCAACCTCTAAGAGCCAAATTTTACACAAATAACTGCCCCTCTCCATGACAACCCTAGAACCCAGTGACAAAAGGAAATTACAAGAAGCAATCCCAAATGTAGTGCAAGACTTATATCATGCAAGTTGAACACGAATTTCTATTACATCCCCCATTCCTAGTGTTCTGTTTCTTTATTGTCTAATGTAAGTGCACATTATTTCAATTTAATTGCAGAAACCATTTATTCAATCCCAAATAGATAACATTATTCATGTAATATCTACAAAAAGTCGGGATAAGACGTTAATAAAAACCACTAATCCATTGGCATATAAAAGCTTAAAACAAGAGATAAACAACAACAATGATATGACAACAAGAAACACAAACAACAAAAACCTTATGTAACGGCGACAAATCAACCACACACGTCCCTCTTTCTTCTTGACCGACAGCAAAATCCTCCACCCTTTCGGCAACACATCTCCAAATTCGCCCGCGTCCACAATCCTCTTCTTCTTTCGCCTACTACCCCATTGCCCATTCAATCCCTTCAAGAATCCCAACAACTCCTCCTCGCTCTGCAACCCCTGCGTCCTCCTCCTCAACTCCTCCCCATACGGATCCTCCAACCCACCCAAAGCTACCAAATCCACCACATTTCCATTCTTATTCACAGTCTCCTTATCCCTATCCGCCACATTCTCATACACCACAATGTCCTTCATCAAATTAGGTTCAGTCTCGGTTTCAACAGGAACCAGCACTCTTTCGTATTTTCTCGGCCTACCCCTCTTTCTTTTTTCTTGAAAAGGGATTGCATTCGATAGAACAGGCACCGAATCGCTATAATCAACCCGAACGGGGAATAATTCATCGCTAATATCCTCGGCCGCGAATAATTCCTTCAATATTCCGATGATTTGAGAATTTTCAGCCTTTTCAGGGTCGGTTGTATCATGTGGAGGCGGTTTCGAAGAGCGGAGATGCGCAGTGCGGCGGCGGTGGAGAGTGGAAGTGGAGGTGGGGGAAGTGGTGGCGGTGGCGGGGGAGGCGGGAGCTAGGCGGAGGCGGGAGTAGGTTTGTTTACGGCTGCCGGCGGACTCGTTGAAGACGGAGCGATCGATTTTGGGGATAACGACGTCGTCGCATCGGCGGGGATTGAATGCGGAGTTGGAGCAGAGAGAAAGGGAGTAAAGTTCTGATTGGGAGAGGAGGCGGAGATCGACAGTTGGGATTGAGTCTTGTTGGAGGAGGTGGTCGGAGGTGGTGGGATCGACGGTGGCGGAGGCCATCGGAAGTGGAATGGATTAGTGTTTTTTCTTTTGGGGGTGGGTTGTTTTCAGAGTAGAGAGAGAGAGAGAGAGACTTTGTATGAAGTACGGAATGAGAGAGAAAACAAGGGGAAGATGTAACTGATTGGTAACTCAGAGGAGGTTAAGGGAGTTGAAAAGACTAAGATGACCTTGGGTTTTTATGTAATTATTATGAATCATGGGGGTTAAATTGTGGCCCCTGGAAATGTATTATTTATGTTTTGACTCACCGATTCGAGAATGAAAATATAGAGTCTAACGGTTATATAGGAATAAGGCGGCGTGTGTTTGTTAATCTAAATTTAGTATTTAAAATGAATATATTTAATATTTATTAATTAAATTTATTTGATAATTAAAATTTAAAATTTCTTAATATACTAAGTGTTTCTTAAAAATATTAAGTAGGAGATCTTTTACTTAAAACACTCAACAAAATTATTTTTAATAATACTAGTAATGCACACGTGCGCGTGAAAAAATTTAGATTATAAAATTCTGATTATATTTTTTAGAAATAAAAAATGTATAAAGTTGACAAAATAAAATACTACAGATATATGCATTCAATGGTTTATTGAATCCAAAAAGAATTTCTGTCATTACAACATAAGACTAAGAAAACTCATAAATATAATTTACTAATTTAAAACTATTCCACCACCACATGAATTCAAGAAAATCTGATAACAAAATTAATTCTACTCATAATATAATAACTCCTAAAACACTACAAGCCTACTAATAATAAACAATTAAATATTAGAAAATTAGTTTAACAGATTAAGTTCTTCATTCCATGGAAAATACCTTTTTTTGGACGTTCATTATCACTTTGATGGGAACACAAATTCAATTGAATACAAATTAATTTTAGTTCTAATTACAAAAATTGTTGTAAAGTAAATAGAGCATGTATGCAATAGCCATACCCAAATAGATGGAAAACAAAGTAAATAAAATATCATATTAGCAATAAGCATGTTCTGATAGAGAAAAAAAAAGCTCACAGGTTGACAACATCAAGTATCGTCGACCCTGCACAGATATAAGACTAACTATGTTAATGAAGTTATCGGAGACATATAGGTTTATCTTCCTATATCTATCTATATATATTTACAATAAAATTGTTCAAAATATTTTGGAAGTCTAATAGGTATGAAAGAAAGAAAAATATATGGGTTTAGCTCTTTATTTTTCTAATCTTTTATTATATAATAATGAATAATGAATTTTTAATGATTGTGTTTATCACCTAAAAATTAACAATTTTTTCCACATCATCATATATAAAAGTCTAGTTGAATTTGTCGAATTGAATGAAAAAAGAAGAATGTACTGGCAAGTCATAGTGATAAAGTTTATCTAATAAAAATTTTGAAAGTTATTGAGATAAATTTTATTTAACTAATATATAGTGATAAAATTTATCTAACAAAAATTTTGGAATATTAGTGATAAAGTTTATCCAGCAAAAAATTTGAAAATCATAGAGATAAAGTTTATCTAGCTAATATTTTGTGGCCATAATTGTCTTTAGTGTAGTAATTAGGGGTGAAAAAAGAAAAATAAAGTTGTTCAAAATATTTTGGAAGTCTAATAGGTATGATGAAAGAAAGAAAAATATATGAGTTTAGCTCTTTACTCTTCTAATATTTTATTATATAACAATGAATAATGAATTTTCGATGGTTATTTTTATATCCTAAAAAATAACAATTTTTTTCACATCATATTATAATTCTAATTGAATTTGTCGAATTGAATGTAAAAAAAGAATGACATTATAGTGATAAAGTTTATCTAGTAAAAATTTTGGAAGTCATAGAGATAAATTTTATCTAAATACTTCATCCATTCCTCAATATCTGTCATTTAAGGTTTTTGCACAGGGATTAAAGGTAGCTATTAAATAGCTCTAATATAAGTAAAAAATAATTGCACAAGACTAAAATACCCTTATTTAATATGTAGTGGGAAAGAAAGGAATATAAAAGACACTTAGTCTCCACCTAATCTAATGCATTAAAAAGTTAAGGGTAAATTTGGAAGAAAAAATATTAATTATGTTTTGATTTCATTAAACGACAGATATTATAGAACAAAAAAAGTACTCTATATAGTAATAAAATTTATCTTACAAAAATTTTGGAATATTAGTAATAAAGTTTATCCAAAAAAAAAAATTGGAAGTCATAGAGATAAAATTTATCTAGTTAATATTTTGTAGGCATAATTGTCTTTAGTGTAATAATTAGGGGTGAAATAAAAAATCAAAAGTTTTTTGAAGATACTGACATTTATAAGTAGTATGGATTTATAATTTGACAATTATACCCCAAAATATTTTACAATCCTATTAAAATTCTAATTAGTCTTCTCTTCAAAAATCCTAACCTATACATTCTCCTTGTTAATCTTTTTTTTTTCTTTCCCTTGTCTTCTGTAACAAAAATATACATATATAATTATAATTACACACACAAACGCACGCACTGCACACACATAATTACACACAGACATATGCGCTGCACGCACACACATATTGTTAATGAAATCTAATTTATTATAATTTTTTAATATCATTTGATTATTTATTAGTTATTGTTCTTTTTTTTATCAGATGTTATTGTTCACTTATTATGTTATTCAATTTTTTATTTTTCACTAATTATGTTATTCAGATGTTATTTATTTATTTATTTTGATCAAATATTTGTTAAATGTAGACTACAATTTAATAATAGTAATTATAATTTATATTATGACATATTTTATAAATATTTTCAAATTAAAGAGTAAAAAGGTAAAACTGAAAATTAATTTATTTTCNTACAATTTAATAATAGTAATTATAATTTATGTTATGACATATTTTATAAATATTTTCAAATTAAAGAGTAAAAAGGTAAAACTGAAAATTAATTTATTTTCAGGCATCAACTATGTGTAGTTATCAAACAGTTTAGTTCAATTCAATACTTAAATTTCATTGAATGCGAAACAGTCCACAAATTCAACATTCAACTTTCGGACTTCAGCTTTCAGTTTTATCAATCACCACTTTAGTTTGACTATTCAAAAAGTAATATTTTTTATTTTAGTTATTTATTTTTTAATANTTTGCTTTCAGTTTTATCAATCACCACCTTAGTTTGACTATTCAAAAAGTAATATTTTTTATTTTAGTTATTTATTTTTTAATACATATTTTAATAAAATTTTTATATTTTTAATTATTTTTTAAATATTATTTTTATTATATCTTCAATATATTTTACATTCTTAACTTTTTAATATCCATTACCACCATTGTGCACCATTATTGTGCATTGCCGCCATTATTGTCGATGGCACCACTATTGTGAATGTCACGGGGTTAAATTTCCCACCAAATTTCTGCCTCGTGATGGTACTAAGATTCAACACTTAGTCTCAGCCAAACACTTAGAATGCACACAAACTGCACTTAGAACAGAGAATGGATAGTAAGTAAACACACAGGCAAGGCACACAGAATTTACAGGCAATAGTTAAACATTTCTTTCTTAATAAAGTATAAGGAACTCAACCTTGGAGTTTGTTTACAAAAACATGACAACTCTCCTGTTGCACTATAGACCCCAAGCATCCTATTTATAATATTCAGGGTGGCAGTTACAAGCCCAATTGTCTAAGTACATGTCTGTAATTCAAATGCTACCAGAGGTTTGCTGTGATTGGATGACATGGAAGTTATAACTGGTGTCTGCATGCTTGTCTGAATCTGATAGAGATCCCATTTGCAATGCATTTGCCATAAAAATGTCCAGAACTACCACCATCTACAAAGCGTATGCCCAACTTCTTCACATGTTGTGCATGTGTCAGGAGCCCTCAGCATCCGAATTGCATTACATTCGTGCCTAACCATGGCCCTGCCCATGACTCATTATTCAAGCTAGCATCGCCCCACAATTCAAGCCGCCCGCTTCCTTGCTTGCATGCTGACTTGTGCCCACGTGCCCATGTGCATGGACTGCCTCCCTCAGTCATGCATCGGACTTCTGCCATTTGGGCTAAGGCATGAGTGCCTATGAGCGAGGCTACCCAATGCCAAATGCTGCCAATGGCTAAGGGGGTAACAAACCACCCCCACCAGAAGAGCTCGACGTCCTCGTCGAGAGGTTGTCTCAATACTTCTTGATCTATTTCTCAAACTGTCAAAGAGTCACATCTCATTCCCAACTTGCGTCCGCCTCAGAACCCCTTTTCCAATGCACTAGAAAATCAGTCCTGCGATTCTTCTTACTCTGACCCATGGTCCGGTGAGACAGAATCTTGTCGACCTCTCTGTCAAACTGTTTCCTGATGATAGGCGGAGCCCTCTTAGCTTGCTTNCTGCCTCAGAACCCCTTTTCCAATGCACTAGAAAATCAATCCTGCGATTCTTCTTACTCTGACCCATGGTCCGGTGAGACAGAATCTTGTCGACCTCTCTGTCAAACTGTTTCCTGATGATAGGCGGAGCCCTCTTAGCTTGCTTTCTTCCAGCATTCAATAAGTCTTCCTGAAAAGGCTTCAGAAAACTCACATGAAAAGTTGGGTGAATTTTTAATCGATCAGGCAGCTTCAAGCAATAGGCAACATTCCCGACCTTCTTCATCACCTCGAAGGGGCCATTGTATTTGGGAACCAGCTCTCGGTGTACTACCTTGCTGTTGATCATTTTCCATAATGCAAGAGTCAATTTCAGCAAAACTAGATCACCAACATGAAATTCCATTGGTCTGCGGCCTTCATCAACATAATTCTTCATTCGTCGGGAAGCTTTGGCCAAGTTGTCCTTTGCCTCATCAAGCAACTCCTGTTTGGAACGGGCAAATCAATATGCAGCAAGACATTTTCCTCCGGTCCTCTATTTTACCACTTCATGGGGAGTAAGTGGCTGATGTCCCATAGCCAATTCATAGACTCATTCTTGTAGCTGAAGATCTATGCAAATTGTAGCAAAAGTGGGCAGTGTCCATAAGCTCCACCCAAT